CGGTGTATGTATATATATATATATATATATATATATATATATATATCATCAAAGAAAGGTAAATGCAGTGTTCGAATATATGTATATAGGCCTATATATATATATATATATATATATATATGATAGGGTAAGGGGATCATTACATCATCAAACGGTTAATTACAACACTGACTTGGAATTTACTGACCAGCCAGATTTTTTAATTCCTTATTATTTCTTAACCACTAGCTTCTTCCGTCAGATTCAATTAATTGTTTTAACAAATAGGCTATGCACGTTGAAAGATATTATAGCTAAGCCAATACTGAGCGACTCACCTTAGTCCATGAAGTACAAATAGCACCTCCCATTTCGAATGTCACCACCAGCAACTAGTTTCATCAAATCCACAGCATATTTTTTACCTCAATGATCACAATAACGCAATTTCCTTGTCACGTCAGAAGTTTTCCCGTAAACATTCCATAGAGGGCGCAGCATTATCTCGACTAGTAGATTAGAGGACAGTTGCAGCATCTAAGCATCTAGATTAGAAAATGCTATTCCAACTATGAATACCGTACGGCTAATATTTTATTGTCAGTTTAAGGCAATTCAGCGTAATGCTCAATGTCAAATTTTGTTTTCTTTTTATGTATTTAAATATTTGTTTTAATATACTGAAGTCGCCAAATACACGGCTGAAAGCCAGTCTGGGTATTAGGGGCGGTGCCTGAAGGGGTGGGAGAGTTGGGCCTCGTCGATGAACAAAACCACAATTCGTCGGGGAGAAAAACAAATTATGTGTATTTTCTACATCAGTAGACTCTAAAATCGATTTAAGCCTTTCTTCTTATTAAGAAGCTAACTTCAATTTGAAGGCCCTGCCCCCACCCCCACCAGATCAGTTTAGCATCTGAGTATCAGACTTTGTGGTATTCTATTTTTTTTTTCTACCTTTTATTACATTTTTAAAATTTATTATTATTATTACTATCAGCAAAGACCTGAATTGTCAAAATTCGCACCCTGGACTACTTTTGAAATATTTTGAGCGACGCCCGGATACGCCCACTTTGCTCTTGTCAGGGATGCCCCCACCCCGTCTGGGACCTCGGACCCCCGGTCGGGCCGGCAAATCCTGGCGCTACCCTTGCTAGGTATAGGTTACAAAACAGGTGTGGTTGCAATGGTGAATTTACCATCACATTTTTAAAAACACAACATAATACTCTGGGATAAAAAAACTCAAGATTTTTTATTAGCAATATGAATCATGCATTTGTATACGCTATGATAGACAGCTGACAACACAGCATGTCTATAACATACTTAATACTCCACGACAGATCATTCAAGCAGTGCCATATTAAGCCTAGTTTCCATAAAATCTCTACACTGCGTAGTTGTTTCCGACACAATCAAGCTGTCAGCGATAGTGTGTAGCGATTTTATGGAAAACAGAAATAAGTAAGCAAGTTATTATTTTATTAAGATAATTATAAATCTGTCAAAGTGCAAATCATGCTGTTCATACCTTAAATTACCTACCATATACTAGTAATTACACGTCAATAACAGAAAATAAACTTTTTAGGCAGCTTGTAAAATAGAGGGAGCTTTCGATTGCCGGACGACGTAAGACACAGAACGTAATGGTGTCACTAAGAAGTCATCTGCGCATGCGAGGATGAAGTTTGGCCCAAATCTGAATCAACTGTAATAGTTGTCTCAGGCCCGAATCTACGTTGCGCAGAGAACGTAGGACAGTTACAGATGAGTAAATCCGCTCTTGGTCGGTTACATTGTCGCGGAAATCGAAAAATCCCTAGTATTGGAAGGACGGGAAAATCGGGGCATGTAAAGAAAACTGATAGCACCCATTATTAGCACAGACTTCTTTCTTGAGAATTATTTAATGGTCCGTATATTGCCTTCATAAGTATTATTCGACAAAAACACAATTCAAGTGGCAGTAAAATACAATACTGAATAGAAAACTTAATGGTATATTATATGAACTGCGCTATGTATAGGCAATATTTTAACATTGAAATATATTCCAATTTGCTTTGTTTAGATAAGGTAAAACTATAATATTATTGCATAAAAATGGTTTTGTTGTGAACTGAAACACAATCAACAGTATACAGTAATAGCAGTGTTATGTTGCAACTAATCAACTAGCAAACACTATTGTTTGTTCTACTGGAGAAGTTTTAATTATTTGGACTTAAAACAAGACAACGATGTCAACATGTGTTGGGTATATGGCGGAGGAGAGGTGCATGATGGAATTTTGTTTAATAAAAAAGAATCACAATAATTGTTGCAAACCACCCCGAACCTCAAAATAACCATAAGTACATTGGTGAAATTTGCCATGAAACATTTGCCTGAAACCAAATGCTATTAGGCGAAACTTTTTTTATACCTTGCTTCGCGAACTTATTTTTTAAAGACTGTCAGAGAAGGGTGCAAAAAAAAAATTAAAATAAAATTTTCTTTTCTCATCTAGCAAAATGATTTTGCCAAAACTATCTAGGTGAAGGAGAAAAATAAAATTGTATTAAGGAATAAACAGTGTAGTAATGCCATTGATAAATGCTTTAAATTTATATATATATATATATAATTATATATGTAATTAACGAAGAAATATATATATCTTATTTTTTGGGAGATTTCAGGGAGCGGAGGGCGTAATAAAAATAAATATAAAATTTTACTTTTTAATGAAATTTTGATTTTTTGGTAGCAGAAGGTGCGCTGACTGGCCAATAATAAAATTTTATTTTGATTCAAAATCACCATAATTGGCGGTTGGTGGGTTCGCTAAACAAGGTATAAAAAGAGTCTCGCCTTACTAATACAAATCATTATTCAATGTTTTTTTTTTTATATTTTACTATGAATAAAAAACCAGTATATTTTCAAAAATTCTGTGTGGTTTTTCTTTTTAAATTTGTTTACATTGATTACCATACTGTGTGCTCTGTCCACACTATCAAATTTCCTTTGACAAAAAACTGTTATATGCCCATATATGGTCATGATGTGCCTATATACGGTCATGTTATGATGTCATCATGACCATATTTAGGCATGTCACATGTTTTTGTCAAATACAATTTGATAGTCTGAATTGGGCTTTATGCAATTGAACACTTGAATCTTGATTTCAAAAAAAAAAAAAAATGTACATAACAATTTGATGCTTATTAAGCTGGGCCCTCACTGCGTGTCGACCAGCGAATCCAACTGTGCCCCATGTGAGCTCTAGATGCCGCGACGCCGTCTGTTGATTGTCACAGTCTGAGCTGATCGTCATTAAAACCGATCCGTTGTGCGCGTTGTGTTCTCCATAGAATCGCGTCGGCCGACGACCGCAGTGAGTGCTTAGCTTTAGGATACAGATAAAAAATGATAATATTACGTTGAAATATTTTGTATATATACTGTATAATCAAAATGAAGCAGTAATAACAACAATAATTGGTTTCTTATTCAACTTTACATTTGATTTTCATGTATTTTATCAATATGTTGTGAAGTTTTTAACTTATTAATATTATTAACAGTTAGTCAATAACTTTAACCTGTTATGAACTGGTTATCAGTTGCATTATAAACCTATTATTATTGTTTAATCTGTAATTTTATTAAACTGATATTTACAAAATATTAGTAATGATATTAAAATGTTATTACAGTATTACTAATTTCTTCACTTGTTATCAGTCACTTTATCAACATGTTATTAACCAGTTATTGGAACATTTATTACCTGTTATTGTTATTAACCAGTAATCAATAAGATTATTAACCGACTAATGTTATTACCTGGTTATCAGTAGCTCTATTACCTGTTACTGACCTGTTATCGTTAACTTTATTATTTTGTTATTACCTGGTTATCAGTAACTTTATTAGGCTGTTACGGATCATTTATCGTTAACTTTATTATTTATTAGACAGTCATTGATCAGTTATCCTAAACTTTATTATTTTGTTATTACCTGGTTATCTGTAACGGTTTTAATTTATCAGTAAATTCATTATCCTATTAATGCTCTTAACCTGTTATCAACCAGCTATAACTTATAATTAACCATAATTAACTGGCAATTTATGTTATTAACTGGTTATCATAAAGAATGATTTGATTTTATCAGTAAGTTTCTTAACCTGCTAATGTTAATAACCAGTTATTGATTTATTGACCTGTTATAGTGCTATAAACCTGTTATTAACTGGATATCTTAACTTAATTAAGCTGTGTTATTAACTGGTTTTCAGTAAACTTAATTATCTATTAACTGGTTTCAGTAAGTTTATTAACTAGTTTACTAATCTTATTAACTAGTAATCAGTAACTGTATTAACCTATTAATATCATAACCATTTATCACTAACTTGATTAACCTGTTATTAACTGTTTAAAATTATTAACCAATTATTGGAAACGTATTTACTTTGCTGTAGTCATATGCATTCTGTTAGCTCTTCGACATAAGAGAAAAAGGTGCAAAAAATATGATGCCTATGCATTATGTAGCACCAGTCGGAAAAATGAATTCATGACGTAGAATTGTCCGTTGATATTCTTTAAAAGAAATGTTTCTGCAAAACTGTGTGGAGGGTCATTATCACTCTGTGTGAAAAGAAAAATTAAATTTGTTAGTTTTAAAATTACATTTAATCTTATTCCATTTCATTTTATTTATTTTGTCTCAGTAAAATGCACAAAAACAACTGGTTCCAATAAAACTTAATATATGGTAGGCATAAAATATAAAAAACAGGCCGAGACAGCATTCCTAAAAAGAACCAAATTTTCTAGTAGTCTTCTAGTGTGCTATTCCGATTACACTTTGGTAATAAAATGTACAATTACAATAAAACTTGGAATCTGTAACATTAAAATACCAATAAAAATTTGCATTAGCAAAAGGTACACAAATATTATAAAATTATTGGAGATATAATTAAAATATTGTAAAAATTGTTTAAGATTCAGAACCAATAAATCCCTGGTTTTTAAGGTAGTTCCTCCCAAGAATGTATAAACAAATGAAACAGAATATTTCAAAGAATTTGTTTGAGAGAATGGGTGTACAAATTTAAGATGTGTCTAGATATAATTGTTATGAAATTTAAAATATCCAAATTATAACAGCCATGAAGACATTTGGCAATAAAAGAAATGGTAAGAAGCTGAAAATATCACATCAATTGTAATTTTGATGACCCAAGTAAAATATCTATCTTTATCAACTGAGCACTATTTTCTACGCAAAAATGTCTCAAAAACTAACCTGTCTCCTACACATTCATGAAGTATCCATGTTTTTACCACTAAATTATGCTTGGTTTAATTAAAATTACTACACTGTCACTACGGTGTTTTCAGTGCAATCGTTGTACTGCGTAGCGGTCCCCGACGCAATCGGGAAGGCTCCCCGATCCGACTGACCAATCAGCATCACCGAAAGCTATCGGCGATAGGGTGTAGCAATTGTATGGAAACCAAGCTTTACCAACAGTCTCCATGAAGTCAGCTGATTTTGGATACAACCATGTACAGCAAAATATAATAAAATGTGTTAAAAAATTCATTTTAAGCCTCAATCGCACTGGATTTATTTCATTAAAAGTAACTGTCTTGTCGGTAAGTTTTACCGAAAAAATCCAGTGCGGATGGTCCCGCTCGGTTAACTTGACTGTCGCCGCCGGTTAGTTTTCGGGAGTGAAATTTACTCAGGAATTCCTACCGAGCTACTTTGACCGGCCTTGAAAATCCAATGTGAACAGCCACAGGTCGGTTAAATTAACCGAATCCCGAGCCTCATTGTTCATTTCAGTAAGAACTAGCTAGAAAGTAAGTGCAAATCAGCGCGCGAAACAGATCAAGGGATCAGAAGGCTGTAGGTCATGTCAGTACGGGTCATGTTACGGGTCAAAATGTACCGCCCTTAATAGTTAATTTTACACTACTCGGGAAAACTAACCGAGTTGAAAAGTCCAAGTGCAATTGACGGTAACATTTACCCTAGAAATGTTTACCGTGATGACGGTTACATATTCCCAAAATTTAATCCAGTGCGACTGAGGCTTTAGTTTCTGTAAAGTGCTGTCACAAACTTAGGAGGGATTAATACATATACTTGCCACCACCACGAACATTTGGTTCCTTTTTTTCTTAGTAACCGAAAAAGTATATTACTTGAGTTATATTGGGAGTCATATTTACCTGAAGTTGTCCAAGAAGAAACACAAGAGAAAACGTTGCATCTAAACTTTGACAATCGGCTGTAGTCACTACACGAATTAGGTTTTTTGGTAAACTCTGAAAAATTTAAGTGAAACAAAGTTTCAATGGTTGTACTGTACATCTATATATATATAGGTTACCATCCTACGTTCATGGATACTATGTACTCTTTCTTCATGCCAAGGTCTCAAAGATCTCAAGGTGGACTATCTTGCACAGTGACTTGCTTCTCCCCTAAGGGTCTCTTCGTGCCTGAGCTACTGTACCTGGTAAACTGGTACCAGTTACTCTCGTCAGTCCACACCGGGGGCTGTATGTGCCCGTACGCCAGCGGTAACCCTCTATTCTTTAAAGGCAGCAGCACATCCTGTGGATGACAGTGGTTTATTCCACTTTTGCTACTTCCAGGCATTGCTCTTCATTTTGAAGTTATTTCTTTTGTATATTTTAATTTTTTTTGCCAAAATGAATAAAATAAAATAAAATTAGAATTTAAATATTTCTACCTATGTTGCTTAAGTAAAATTTAGCATATATTACAGATTATTATCAAATTGCTCTTAGTTTGCTAGATTATTTCTAATTGAATTAATTTAATTCAAGCTGAATGAAATGAATTCTCAGCCTAATAATCAACATTGTTGGAAGTGTCTACATTAATTATTTTTTGTATTCAACAACAAATACACAGACTGCATATGATAGATGATTTTTTGTAAAATGTAAAAACGCTGCAGATCTATGATCCAGTGGCATACCTAAGGGAGGGCATGGTGGATGGGGCATTCCCCCTTCAAAAAAGCCTGTGCCAAACTAACTGCAAATTTTCTTGCTGGGATAAAAAAGAAGTTATGCTCAAGTTGTTAAAAATCAACGTATTTTGCATTTCAGTGTTCCCCCTCACTATAATCATCAAGCCTTTCCACTTAATCTAGATATGCCACTAAAGCTTTGTTCACACTCAAATTTTATGTGACAAATAAGTGTAATATGACATCATGATGCCCATATATGGTCACATCACACACATTTGTCATATAAAATTTGAGTGCAGACAGAGCTTATTTGATTGAAGTGTATTCAGCTTACGCACCAATAATTTTGTCATAATTTGTTCCTTCCCTTTAAATATTTGACCTTCGAATGTCATAGTTGATGTTTCAGTCTGAAAAAAAAAAGAAAAGTTAATGAGTGAGTGCTTGAGGTAAAATGTAATTGAGGGTGCCCTCTGACCCTCACTCAAGGTCAACTCCTGATGTTGCAAAAAATAAAGCAATGTGGTGATGTTATCAGTTGAGTAATTGGACTGACACATTGTATGCCTTATGGGGTTCCAATGTGAATTAATGTTAAATTACATAATATTTATTGATTTTTAAACTGTCTTGAAAGTCAGTACAAATGCCATTTTTCATTTAATTTTTTATCTCATCAAAAATCAAATTATATACTAACTCACAAAGTTTAGATTTATTTTAATTATTCAGTATACACAGATTTCTTTATTCACAAATTCATAATACAGTATACAAATGGCAGTTTTACAACTGAAATCAAATTGTACAATAAAATTGATTTTAATTATTTATTGTTATAACATTTTTTGTGATAATTGCAACATTTATTTTTACTATTATTTAAAAAAGAAAATCTATACTAGACTTACAAAATACCAGCCTAGTAAGGATTCTGGATTTTATATCTTTAAGTTCTTCCCAAAAAAAGGAATTTGTAACCCAGATCCAGTGTTTATATTCCTGTAATTGCTCTTATTATGGATAAACTGTAAGTGGGAAACTCAAAAGTTTCTTGCTAAAACTAGATGTTAGTGAGGCCTCCTATCATGCAATGTTGTTAGATTAAGATTATTTAGTGCATTATTGTAGCTTAAATTAATCATTGTAATATTTTTCAGAATGCTCGTATTTGTATATCTATAAAAATCTGTATAACTCTCCAGAATCATACATTCCAAACCCCCCGATTTCATCTGGAGTCTCCCGAATTTTCATGCAATCGCCAGACCTCCCAAATTTCTAGAAAACAACCCAAAAACTCCTCATTAAGAGACTTTTTGATAACAATAATTGAATTTTCTGTTTTTATTTTTCCTTTTTGCGCCGACTTTATCAACAATATGGGCGAACAAAGACTTTCCGAGTGTGGCTGACACTTCCAAGGATCAGAATGCATGTATCATATGGAAAAAAAACTTTTTAACATTTCTGCAGTGCCATACTGTCAAGTATATTTAATTCCACAGATGACACTTCTTAAACCAGCTCAAATTTGTGCGGATAATCGTTGACGTTAAAAAACTGTGTGCGCAGAATCGTACCTACTGCATAATTCATTGGTTATATATTAAGATTAGGTCAAGGCCTAATTTTCTGCAAAATCTGCGATGAAATCGGCCTTTATTTTCCGCATACAAATTTCCAGCCTAATTTTTTGGTCGAGTTTGCCAAGAATACTTCAAACATTGAATAATTATTAAAAGTACTAGCTCAAAATCGACCAGATCACCAATAATTTGGTAACCGTTTTCAGGGCCGGATGCGAAACCGTATTATTACCGCCAATAGGCCTAGCCCCTAGACTTTTTAGGCCCTAGCCTAGGCCTAAATACAATAGTTAGGCCTAGGCTAATAATTGTAATTGAATTTATATTAGACCTATATATTGGCGAATATGGCAAATATATTTTTAGTCTTAGGGAAAAAAGGGTGCCGAACGTAGACCAAAAGATTCATAAGAACACTCTAAGCTAGGCCTACACTGAATTGAGAATACTATTACTAGGCCTACAGTAGCCTAGGCTAGGCCTAGGCCTGAACTCTCCCTGACCAGGCCAGGGGGACCGGTCCAGCCAGCCAGCAGTAGCAGTAGGGTATGGATGGGCTTCCATTTTTGTAGTACCGAGCCCGTCACTATACTCACAAATACATTAGCCAGTTGTTGACGATCATGCTGAAAAAGGTTGTAGAAATATCCTGCGAACGCTTGAGCTAAGTCTCCTTCCGCCATTATTAATTAAAAATTCAGATTTCTAGACTAACCCACCACCGTCAGAAAACCAACAATGTAAACTTTATTCGCGCCGCCGCGACGTGGGAAAATGAATATATGATAATTTAATGTAAGCGAAAACATAATATACGGAACGAAGTTTGTTAACAATTTTACAGCATTATTATAGTCGTGCAGAACCGCTTACTAATCCATTGCGTATTTTTGGCGGTTTTTTTTTCAATCTTACGCGCGCACAACAAAATTAAAAATCACTTCAATAAAAATACAGTGTCATTCAATACAATTGGTACATATGAGACACTAAAATAAAATAGAAAATAACCAAAACTGACACTAAAGAATTTACAGAAAAACTGTAAATCTAAGGAGGCAAGGAGGCCTAAAATCAACTAAAATCGTTTAGAGCTCACAAGAATTGTTAATCCATCCCTAGAAAAACAGAAATACTGGATTCACCATAGCACCAGTGTCACATCTCTTTGACCCCTTTTCTCATCCTTGTCATGGCATTTTCAAACCATAGAGAAATTTTTTTCTGCCCCAATACACCATACCTGGAGATAATTCCCATCCAGGGGCGTAGGCTGGTTCCAGTGGCGTATCT